TGAAAGAGAAGCCAGTACTCTTAACCAATTATTTCATGCTGAGACTGAGACACCTCTCAGGCTCAGTACTCATTCCCTTGTTGGTTGCCGTGAAATGGTTGATTACTCCAGCTTCCCCTCCGTGTCAGTGGTCAGATCTTCAGGCCTGGTGGCTGTAACTTAGGATCAGCTGAGGTTGTAGCCAGACTGCCCGTGCAGCTGCAAGCCTGATAGCAGATTGGGGACAAACGGCTTCAGCCGCAGGGGCTAATCTGAGAGAGAAGGCCTGGCATCTTTGCTGACTTCAGAACTCACATGATTTTAGTAAATTTTTTTGTCTTTTTTTTGTTATGATTTACTTATTTTTATTTTATTTGCATTGGTGTTTTGCCTACATGTATGTCTCTGTGAGGGTGTCAGATCTTGGAGTTACAGATAGTTGTGAGCTGCTGTTGCTGCTGCTGCTGCTGTGTGTGTGTGTGTGTGTGTGTGTGTGTGTGTGTGTGTGTGTGTGTGTGCTGGGAATGGAATTGAACCCCAGTCCTCTGGACGAGTAGTCAGTGTTGTTAACTGATGAGCCATCTCCTCAGCCCCATGCTTTTTATTTCCCCCAGTCCTCATTGGTCACACAGGGAGTCAGGGCTATGTCCAGTATGAATCCCAGGAGACAGGGTCCCTGGAGGCTCACGTGCCAACAGCCTCATGCAAGCAGAGCCCTGCTCCCATATAGGTCATGGTGGCCCACCTAAAAGTCCATGCTTGCCCCATCCTTGGCTCTCGCTGGTCACAAGTACACCGGGGCTGCTTACCCCCAGGGCCAGGGAGCTGCATAGGTTAGCCCTGCTGTCCTCTGTGGAGGGACCCTGTGGCAGTAGAGGCCTGAGGCCCAGAGGAAGGCTTGCTGACCTGACTTTACAGGATTCATAGTATTCTGACATGACCAGGAAGTAAAGGGGCCTGAGCAGGGGCCCGGAGGGTGATGCAGTTGGGTGGTAGCATAAGGGAGACAGGGTAGAAGAGGGATTGGGCTGAGTGCTGGGGTCTGACAGGTGGAGAAAGGAGACTTGATCCTGAGGCACAGGTTAGCCGCGTAAAGTCTGTGAGGAGAGCAGGCATGCAGGAGAGCCGGGATCTCAGGATTGGAACTGTGAGGATAACCCCAGCCAGCATCCCTGCCTGTCTCTGTAACTATGAACCTAAGCCCTCACAGATGCTCCGCCAGCAGTGCAGTATTGCCTTGACTTTACAGAGCTCACTGGAATGCTGTGGCTTGGGTGAGGTCACACGCGGAAGCTGTCTGGAGCTGCATCGCCCCAGGTCAAGGAACTGGCCTGTGCGAGTGTCCAGATGATTGCTCAGACTGTGGTCGGCCTGGTGAGGGTCCTGAGCCCCTGAGGCAAGGGAGGAAGGCCATGGCTGTAAGGTTAAGGGGCAGAGTGAGGGCGGTTCCTCTTCTCACTTCTTTCCTGCCCCTGCAGAAGCTGTCCAGAGTTCGAAATGCTATGGGGTTCCTACATGGAGGCGGAGCTCCTCATCTGGGCTTGTCAAACTGGGTCACGCTGTTTGCTCAGCACTCAGTATTATTTGTTGGTTTGCCGACAATTGTGCCGTGTTTGTCACTGCCTACCCAGCGTATGGCACCAGTCTCACCTTGGGACCCTTTTCAGTAGGGTCAAACACTTCCTGGCATGGGTGAGATTATTTTCCTGCCTTTGGAGCTTTTCAGGTCTGTGTGCCCTGCTCCTAGCGTGGTTGTCTCTGCCACCCCATCTCCTCCCCAATCAGTTTTGTGTCTCTAACCCTGGAGAGGAGACTGGGTGGAGCCCTGACTGAAAGGCTTAGTGGTGGAACCTAAAGAAACCAGTCTGCCTGTCTTCTGCTTCCCAGGCCTGAGGACATCACATTCTGGGGGAGTTGCGGGAAGTTAGGAGAGCTGGGGGGAAATGGAGGTCTTCACAGAAGGTGTGGGAGCCCTGTGGGTCAGGGTTTGGAGGTCCCGAGGACCTGTCTGTCCTAAGAAGGTCCTGCATCACTCCCAGGAAGTAGTTGAGGTCCAGCCGTGGAGTCAGGAAATTAGAGGGAACCCTGATTTCCAGTCTTGCTTCTCACAGCTGTGTATACTGGCAAGAGCTGCACCCTCTGAACCTACATCGTCCTCTGAGGGTGGGTGTGGGCAATGGGAGAATTAATGAGCTATGCCTGTGAAGCCAGCATGCTGCCAAGAGCACAGCATAGTGTCAGAAGTGACCACAGGGGCCACCAACCTCAGGGCTGAGAGGACCTCAGGGGAGAGCAAGGTGTGGGGTGACAGGAGTCAAGTGTGTCTGGGGTGGGGGGGATGTTCTTCAAGGACAGACAGGCAGGAGGCCAGGAGAGCAGGAGACATTGCTGGATTTGTTGTCATTCATCTCCTGCTGTCTCTGCATGCTCCAGCCCTGTCTCCTCCCTCCCACAGCTGGGATCCTCTCCAATGACCAGGCTTCTGTGGTCACCTTTCAGAGTTACCAGTGGGGCAGAGGGCTTCTCCTCCATTAGCCTGAGAACTCTCTGGCATGGGACCTTCCCTGCCAGAGGGGTGGAGCCACTCACTCATACTCTCCAGGGTTCCAGTTAGGGAGAGTCTGGGTCCACCTCTTACCCTGGCAGCACCCTCCTTTGCCGGGCCCCACTCCAGTCTTGTCCTCTGGTGTAAGCCAGGCCTGCAGGTCTGATAGTGCACCAAACCTTTTGACTAAATGGACGTCCAGTGACCATGAGAAAAAGACTGTGATTCAGTCAAGGACACTGGTGTGCAGAAGTAACACCGGAGGCAGAGGAAGAACCCTTTGACCCCAGAGGTCCCTTGTGTCCGTCCTCTAATCAGCAGGCTCCCTAAGCGGCACTGTTCCGGGAGCACGCAGGTTCTCACTCGGTCTGTCTCAGTTCATCGTGTGGTGACGTCTATGAGCGGTCCGCCTTCTTACTGAGGAGTAGCCTGCGCTGTACAGGTCCACGAAGGCTTGAGTCACTGTTGCAGGGCAAGAGCGCTGTCTTCAGTTTGGAGATTGTGGTTAAAGCTGCACGTTTATTGAGCGAACACCTCACAGGGGTCACAGGGGAAGCGTCTGGGGTTACAACCAGCAGCTCTCCAGCCTTCCCATTCCCGTCAGGATGGAGAACTGGTGTGGCCCCACGTTCTTGTCAACACTTGGTATGTTCCTTTAGCTGACCTGGTGGTACGGCGTAATCTGTGTAGCTTTAGTTTTCTGCTGGTTCAGAGTGCTAAGTACCTTTTTAGGTGCTTAGTGATTGTTAAGAAGCATCTTTGTTGAAACATCTGTTTAATCTTTTGTCTAGTTTGTTTATTATTATTGTTTGCTTGTGACAGGGTCTCACTATGTTGCTCAGGCTGACTTGAAACTCCTGAGCCAAAGGAATCTTCCTGCCTCAGTTCCCTGAGTAGCTAGGACTAAAAGTGTGTCCCATCATGCTTAGCTGGTGCCTGTCTTTCAATTGGACTGATATTTTTACTGCTGTCATTATTAGTATTATATTGTTATTGTTTGTGACAGGGTCTCACTATGTAGTCTTGACTGGCCTAGAACTCACTGTATAGACTAGGCTGGCTTTGAACTCATAAAGATTCACCTACCTGCTCCTGCCTCCCAAGGGCACCATTTTGCCTGACCACTTGTCTTTTTGTTACTGATGTGTGGGTAATCTATTTTTTAAATGTTTTATCACATTTTTATTTAGTGTGTGTGTTCTCTTTCTACCACATGGGTTTCCAGGGTTGAACTTGGGCTGCCAGGCTTGGTGGCAGGCTCCTTTGCCTGCTGAGCCGTCTTGCTGGCTCTGAGGGTGATCCTTGTATATTCTTCAGGAGTCATTTCCAGCTGTGTGTGTTGCAGAGGTCTTTGCCTTTTCTCTTCCTCGGTGACACACACCGTTTCTTCTTCAGATGCTTCAGGACACCCAGGCCCGGAAGAGAGTTGCTCAGTGAAGGGTATGCCAATGTGTGGCTTCTCTGCGATGTCCCCTCTGTCCTCCTGTCCTCCCTCTAGCTTCTGTGACAATCCAGAGTCCTGTGTGGCAGCCTTGTAGGCCACCTTGTACTTGCCAGCACAGGGACTGGCTCTGAAATCCCATCCATGTCCTGGTACTTGGCCAGTGTGCTCTGAATGCTGGGCATAAAAGGATGTAGCGCTCAGCAAGGATGTAGCCCGTGGAAGACAGCCCAAAGGGAAAGGATAGAGGCTGGGGCTACACCAGGACCGTCCCGTACTGTGGGAGGAGGAAACATGCCTTGCTTTGAGGAGCTCACATGGAGGAGTTGGGGGCGGGTTTAGAGAAAAGGTAGAAAATAATCCCAGTACTCCAGGTTACATGCAGGGAAGGCTGCCTGAGGGCCAGGTGGGTGCTCGCCCCTCCCAGCCCTCTGCACTCTGTGTGTTACTACTGAGCTCCCCATGACCCCAGGGGAAGTGAGGCCAGCACAACAGAAGGGAAGCCACATTTGAGTCCCGGGCTCATGATGACCACGCTGCTGAGGGTCTTCAGGCAGGATCTGTTTTGGAATCAAAATCCTAATGCTGAACCTGAATGTTACTCTTGCCCTAGCCATGGCTAGGGACAGATGTGAAGCGCAGAAAGATCTGTGACCTCTCAGATGGGTTCCCCAGCCCCCTACATCACTCCAGTGGAATGAGTCCACAGAGGGAAGGGGCCTGTCTGGGAGTGGCTGAGCTGGAGGCTTGTGCCAGGCTGTCATCTTTAATTGCTCAGTAAGGATGCATCTGCTCTCTGGTTGGAGCAATCGTCTTGGGGCTTCTAATGGAGATTTTCACTTCTTGTTTTATAATTTTTTTTTAAATTGTTCCAGCTTCAAGCTTCAAATTTCCATGAAGTCATTGGGTCTGGGAGCCTGGCCTGGCAGCTCCCCCACTCCTGTGGCGGGAGAGGGGCCCTCCTCACACCCCCACCACAGCAGGAGCTGAGCGGAGCTGAGGGCCCAGCTTTAGTTAGCCCTCTTGCCGGTTACCACTGCCGAGCAGGAAGTGGTGGGTCCCAGATGTGACTCACTCTCATTAGGTAGCCGGTGGAGGGAGCCTTCCCATGTGTGAGACAGGACGCCTTCGGAGCAAGGGTATCCAGGGTCCAGCCACCTCCCTGCAGGCACAGAGCTTGGCTGGGTGGCTTTAGTGCCTCGGAAGAGCCAGGTAAAGTGTGATTTGATTTGGGCATAGAATGCGTCTGTTCTTTGGCCCGGGCTTTGGGTCCCAGGCCTGTGGGAAAGAGGTGAGCCCAGGCCTGGCTGCTGGTGGGCTGGGCCAGCTGGTGAGGAGAGGGGGCTCCTCAGTCTCCTGTTCAGACAGCTGGGAGGGCGGCTCCTCACTGGGAAACCCAGACAGTTTGGCCCTGGCTTTTCCCAGTCTGGCAAAACCGGTGCTGCAAAACAGGTCTTAGGCAGCGATGCTGCTCATTTGGCCCTGTTACCTGGAATTCTGGCAACGGCATACTCTTGGATTCCCGTGTTTCTTTCAAGATTGTGCTTTTATATTTACAAGTACATTTCATTTTTTTTTCTCACAGAAAATTATCAAGGAAACTTATTAAACAAAGCAACAAAAGTAATTCTGGATGTGGGGGCTGGGGTGTAGCTCAGTGGTAGAATACTTGCTTAGCATTCCTGAGGAGCAGCACCGAAAATAAGACAGAAAAAAAAATTAGACAAAATATTCTGAAAGTGATACTCACTTAAGAGAAAGAAAACCAAAATGTCTAAGAAAGAGGGAACAATTCCTTTTCCTCTGTTTCAAGGCTCTAGGATCAAGGAGGGGCATTTGGAGGGGGTTCCACGCACATGGCACAGAGTGGACGGGTAGGTGCTGCTTCCCCGTTCAGGGGCCATTCCCCCTGTCCAGCTGCTGGGAGAGGGTGGCATGGTGTCTGGATGTGGGGCCAAAACAGATTTCAAAGGCTTGGACTGGAGGCCACAATATGGGCTGGCTTTGCCTAGAAGGCTCTGTCACCAGCTCTCAGCTGTAAATGTGATGTGAGGGGCGGTCTAGACCCACGGGCCTCACGGCATGGATCATTTATTGTTGCTCAGGAGGTCTCAGCCTGTGTGTGAATGAATACATTTAAAATTTAAGTATTTAATGTTTGAGTGAGTTTTGTAAAAATCCAAACAAAACACGTGTAAAGAGAGACTGAATCTGGCATGGAATGTGTTATTGTCTTGGAGAGCAGGGAGACCGCATCGAGGAGGGTTGGGCTTCAGAGGAAGTCTGAAGCAAGACACACTGCAGGAAGTCCAGGCTTGAGGTCTCTTCGTTTCTGTAGAGTACCTTGTGTTCTGGGGCTCCCTGTGCCAGGTGTCTGTGTGGTGTCGGGGTGGGTGGTGGGTGGGGGATGGCGGGTGGGGCAGGAGAGTTTCAGTGGAAGGAGGTAAGGCAACACTGTGGGAGCTGGAAGAAGAGCCTGTGTCCTAGTGCCTGACTTCCAGGATTGGAAATGGTGCTGTAAAGGCCTCCATGCTAGGACTTGGTCCTGGGGCTCTAGGGAATGGAGGTGGACATGGCAAGGGCCATAGTAGTCTTGGAAGGAAGACAGTGGTCCAGCTTGACCCTGTCTGAAGGACGAGTGAGCACCCTTACAGCCTGAGACTGTTTCTTTGACCGTGTGTCAGAGGCTGTAGCCTGTGTTGTCTGGGTCAAGTCATCCAGTCCCTACCTGTGCACTACAAGGGTCGTGGGCCACCATGCTTGGGGGTGATTCCTTTCTGGTGAGGTACAGGGTCAAAGCAGAGAACAGGAGCTCTGTTGCGGACTAGTTGGGGGGACTAATGGTAGTAGCCTCCACGCCAGCTAGAGTCAGCTTTCTCAAAGAGAGGTCCCTGTGCAGTGTGACTGCTGTCTTGGGACCCATTGCGAAATGGTAGATGACATGGGACCTTCCATATGCCTGCCCACCTGAGTCCTTAGCTGGGCTGAGCCTTCTTGGCCATGTAGTCGTGTCCAACCTCAGCAGAGAGCTGTACCAGGACAATGCGTCCTTGCCACTCCATTATTGCTTGAGTCATCCTGAGCAGCAAGGTGGTCTGTCCCTTGGTGTGGCCTCTCATTCCTTCTGCCCCAGAAGACACAACTGTGGGGTCCTTTATACTAAGCAGGCAACCTCCCCACCCCCTTTGCTGGGCACAAGGTGGTTCTTAGCCCAGCTGGAGAATGATCTTGGTTTTCGTGGGAGCAGGCGGAGGGGTCACTGAGCAGGCCCATGTCACAGTAGTCCCTGCTCAGGCTTTTCAGGCTTCAAAGAGGAAGCACTCACTGAACTAGACAGGCCTGTGCAGAACCAGACTGGGAATGAATTCGAAGGGGTCATCGGGCTACCCAGCCCCCATGCCAGCAGAACCCTACTTTACAGGGTCAGCAAGGAATGGAGCCTGTGTCTGCTGTGAAATGGCTTGCTGTTGGTCTCCAGTGCCCCAGAAATGCTGGTCATTATCGTATCACAGGGCTCTCTCCTGCCTTGGGTAGGAGACAGGGTTAGTGGGAAGTCTCAGATAGCTGGTGTCCCTTCTGTAAGTCACTTTTTCTCTCTGTTCCTCAGTTTTCTCATATGTAAGAAGGGGCTAGTGGTACCGGGTAGGTAAATATGAGGGTCAGAGGCATGCTCTGATGGCGGCTTGTGGAGCATCGGCTGCTTCTGCTGCTTGGGGGAGGGGTATTTCTTTTGTGGCCTGCTCTCTTGTCCATTGGCCTTCTGCCCTCTGATGCAGAGTGGCACAGCACCTCCAGCTAGCCGCAGGCATCCGGCCTAACCTGCTGCTGCACAGGGTTTCAGCATTGCATCATGGCCGGGTTTCGCCAATCTTGGTTCAGACCCCCGAGCTCTATTTCCCTAGCTGGCTTTCTCCAGGGACACCCAGAACAGAGCTTTCCTGCTGTCATCTGCTGTCCTTGCAGGCTGTATGTAGCGTGGTCTAGGTGCTGGTTTGGTAGAACTGAGTAAACCCTGTGGTCAGCACACAATGAGGGGTGGCCAGCACACAATGAGGGGTGGCCAGCCTGGACCCTGTAAGAAGTCCACCATATCAAGATCTCTAACAAACAGTGTGAGGCCAGTTTCTGCCCTGCAGAGGTCAGCTGTGGGCTCCATCAGCCTCCCATCAAACCCGTTCTCTCCGTTCAGCACTGTCCCTGTCCCCTTGCCCACTCGTGGCCAGACCCCTGACTTGCTCACAACACTGGCTTGGCTCTCTGCTGCTGTCTGCCTGTGCAGTCTCTCTGCCCACCAGCACAGCATCCACACTGCATGCTTGCACTTACTTGGCTGGTGCTCCTTTGCGAGGACCCTTTTCAGGAATCCTGGGGTCTGCCAAGAAGGGGTCTCAGTGTGTTTGCCCTAAGTCCGTACATGTGGCAGCTGCCTCCTACCCTTGGCTCTGGTCAACCCCCTTTTCTGTGGCAGGTTCCTGTGGTCACTGGACATCTTCCTTCTTATGTCCTCTTCTTGTGCCTCTGTGCCTATCTCTGTCCCTCATCCCCACCCATGGCCACTAGAAGGAATTCCCTGCAACTGAGGCCTTCTTGAAATCTCTGCTACTCTACCCCATTTCTCAGGATGCTTTCCAGACCTCCACGGTCACCTTCCTTGCTTCCTCCCTGGGCATCAGCACCCAGCTGGCCCTAACAGAGTGGCCGTGGCCCTGGATCGGAGGCCTGGCTCCTGGAAGATACTCATGCCCTTTTTGCATAATGGCAGGCTGGGACCTGGGGACCGTGATATTCCCTGAAGGAGGGAAGGGTACCAACGGCGCTTCTGGAACCCTGAACCTGGATTGTCACCTGGTCCACAGGAAGTGGCTTAGTCTCATGTCCCAGGCCCAGATGCCTTATGTCATTGCTTCTCACTGGCTGAATAGGGAGAAGCAGGGTTCTGGAGCACATGTGGGACAACTGAAGGCCCCAGGCTCTGCAGGCACCAGGCCGGTGTGCATTTCCCTGGCAAGTGCTGTGGGAGGGCACAGCTCTGTCCATGGCCCGTCTCCTAGTCTCCCACTCAGAAGAATATGGACTTGGGGCCCATGGGCTGGGTGTGTGTGTCCCTGTCTCCAGGAACAGTCACCCCCTCTCTGGGCCTCAGTGCATCCACCTCTGCAGCTGACAGGCCCTGCTTCCCATCTGTCTTCAGCACCCCATCTAGCTGGGAAGGAGGAGCCCTTTGGAGTGAGCTGAAGGTCCTGCTCTGATGGGGCCTGACTAATGGGAGGTGGCCTCTTTTGAAACACCCAGACTCCCTGGGGCCATCACTCAGCCCTTGGGTGGGGTGCGCGGTGATGCTGGTGATGCCGAGGGGCTCAGGGGGCAGGACTGGTATGTCAGGGGAATAAGAGAGAAGAGCTGTTTGGGGGAGGGCAGGGGCTTTCAGGCAGTGAGATGGATATCCCTGGGGAGACAATCCTAGTCCTTCTACATCAAGGTTTCTTAGGCTGCCAGCCTCATGTGTTAGAGTACGCTGGCATGACTGTGGTGCTGTATCCCTCTAGCTCCTGCTTACTATCTCTTGTAAGAAGCCACTAATACTTAGGTACCATTACCAGTTCATCCTTTGTATCAGGAGACTGAAGCCCAGAGGGGTTAGTAAGCATGTCTAAAGCCACACAGCACCTTCCGGGTGGAGTGAGATCCGCACTCTGATTTTGAGCTCAGAATTTGAACTCTCAGCCTCTAAGCTCTGCTGTTTTTCCATTGTGGGCACCTTGTCCACCCTCCTGTTTCCTCTCCTCATTTACTGAGTTTATCACATGGTTTCCCTCTCCTCACATGTGTTGTACAGGAACCCCGTACTGTTTTGATCCTTGTGGCTTCAGCATCTTACCCTGGTCCTGGTGGAGGGCGGGAGTCCAGAGAGTAGTTGGTGATAGCACTGGGGGCCTGGACAGCAGGGTGGACCCCTTCCAGCTTTCAGCATTTGTAGACTGACAAGGTGGCTTTACTGAGGTCAAACTGGACCCCATGCTTGGCCTGCCTACACTGCCCATGAGGTGTTGACTCTAATGCAGAGTGGAGTAGGGTCTGCGTGCCCGCTAGGCAAGATGTTGGGCAGTGTATAGCCCATTGGCATAGCTTTATGGGAGGGGCAGACTCGGGGAAGCCAACATGGGCATAGAAGCCAGGCCGGAGGGCCTGGGTGGTATTCCTAGAGGAGCTGA